TTTTTTTTTTTTTTTTTTATCTCTTGGCAGAATACTGTTTTCACGAGACTAGAGAATCTGCGAAGACAAAGTATACGTCAGTCACACTAGTAACGAGGAGACTTTTTAGCCAATTAGAATTGTTTTTACCAATGCCAATTGGAATACCCTAAATAGATTTTCTTTCTAAATTCATTTTCTTTTTACGAATTGACAATTTGTATCGTTTACAGATTTTTGCGTGACATTTCATCTAGATCTGAGAGAAGTAATGATTTCAGTTACAGTTAGCATACCTCCAAATGAATGCCGTTGCAAAAAGAACAATAGGAATACAATCAGCACCGTTGCGCAAATGTTTTGTTGCTGCGTACAATCGGAAACGAGCGCAGTACAAAGGACCAAAAATTGCATTGAAGAGAATATGCTTTCGCATTTCACCACTTCGACCGAAGTTCATTAGTTGCGAGGCTGAAGTTTAAGAACAAGAGATTCGTAGAAATTTTGTTTTGTACATACTATTGTGAGTACGTTCGATCTCGTAAATGCATAAGAAACCTTGGTCTAACTAATAATTATGCAGGATTGAATGCAGGTTTGCCCTTTCAGTGGTGTGCTTACCATTTGATAAGGGCTGGTGGGTTTCCATATCTCGACACGCAGGAAATGGTAGCTTCCTGGCTCTCCCTTAGGGTCAGCGCCGAGTTTAAAATCGTCCCTCCGTATTCCAACCGTGGCTTCCGGGGTTTTACTGAAATTCATCGACGTTCAGTAATGACAGAAATAAAAGAGAAACTTTCTATTTCTTCTCACTCGCTCGTAATTGCAATTAAACAAAATTATCCACGCTTTCATCTTACTTTCCCCTTCGTGTCCCCCCTTACAAAAAAAAAAATATCCTTCGTGACTGCAGTTGGTTTATGACAATTTATATCTTTGCGGAATACTGAAGCTGAAGAAATGGTACCCACAGACAGAGATTATCGAGATACCTTTATACACAGCCTAGGAAAAGTTCACAATTCGGCAAGAAATTGTTGTGGAAGTTGGGGGGGACTTGGTTGCGGCGAACCAAGCGGCGAATAGGAAAGTAGAACGGGACGTTGTGCGTGCGTTAGTGTTTCGCGTTGCATCATGTCGTTGCCCGCGTTTAGCGAATTTGAAATTGCGCCGCCGAATCTGCATCGTTCCATTGAGGAGGCGTCAGAATCTGATTAGCCGCCTGTACATACGGATCGTCGAGGATCATTCACGCCGGTGGAGAGCGTTACCTCTTACGGGGGGGGGGGAGGTGGCGTAAAAACGCAACGTTCCGTTAAACCTAAGTCTACACACTTGTTTAGCGATTTAACGTTTCGTGCAGCGTTGTGTGCGCTGAGATCAATTACGTAGCCGCTGTTGATTTCTTAATTGCTTGCTTAAACGAATTAATTAATTAACGATCCATTTTAAGCGGTAATTCTGACCGTGTTTTAGAGAGAGAAAAAAAAATTGGATTACTGGGTTGGCCAACTTCGAGTTCTCCTCTTCCACGAGATAGATCCTCGTTAGAAAAACCAGGCAATCTGTTCCCATATTTACTTTGGGTATCTTAAGACGATGGTGTTACAGTCAGATACAGCCTGGTATCAAAGCTCCGCTCTCTCAAGTGGGTGAAAAAATTCTTGGCCTGGCGCAGGTCGCTGGTGAAGTGGTAGAGTGAAGATTTTCAAAAGCGTAAAACCTGTCGT